AGTATTTTATCAAACAATATTTGCTTTATGCTGTAGTTCCTGCCATACAAACAATGCTGAGGTCATGTGGAACCTAAAAAGAAAAATAAAAAAGACATACTCACGCTACTCCCATTTTTATCACGAACAGAACAATGTAGTTGATGAGGGCATTAAGAAGATTGACCACAAAGCCTGTGATCACCTGTGGCCAAATGATGCCCTAAAATAAAACAAAATAAAATAACATTTTAAATATGCCTCTCAACCTGAGGAAACAAATCACTGAACTTTATGTGAAATTCGTACTAAAGTGTTCTGAAGTCACAGTATGTGGATGTTTGGTAGATTTACTTCTAGAACTGTTTAATGAGTTAACCAGATTTTAAATGGACACAACAGCTTATCAACGTCACACATTTTATAGATATTGAGCTAATGTGCTTGCAGCTGACATACCTGGTTTTGAAGGTACCGTGATTCTAATGAAAACATAAAGGCAGCCTGTAAATAAAGAAAGGACATATCTAAGTGAAGAGAGAAGACATGCAGGGTACGGATCATCAGTTCATCAGAACCCGACACAACCATGACTCAGCAGTTCAGGATTCACACTACAAAATAATTGTTTCTTATCAAATCACTTTGTTTTATTGAGGTCTACATGCTGCTTTTAAGAAAAATTACAGGAAAACAGTTGCAAGGACACACAAATGACCAGATAAAGTTCAACTGAATGTTTAAAGTCATTTCTGTTTAAATCATTTGTTCTGTTTTACTCTGCTTGTGTAAAATACTTCACCTGATCATCTTCATGACTGACCAAACTGTCTCCTGTTAAAGTAAATCAGTTTTGTTCAGACTGTGTTGCTCTTTATTCCTGAAACATTACGAAACACGTGTTTTATTAGATCCCTCTTCTTTGTGAGTGTCAATGTCAAATTTATTTATATACTGTAGCACATTAAAAACTACAAAAGCTGACCAACGTGCTTTACAGTTCAGTCAAAGACTTGTATCAAAAACAAAACTAATAAAATACAGAAACACACTATAAGAAAAAGACATCAGCTCTGACTGAACCTCAAACTCTCAATCAAAAGTCAAAAAAGAGATGGCTCTTCAGCAAAGATTTAATAGGGTCAACAGGCTCAGCAGACCGAATATTAAGAGGTAGAGCTATTGCAAAAGCCTGATCACCTCTGGATTTTATTTTGGATCTAGGAACATCTAAAAGAAACTGGCTGGTAGACCTGAGTGCTCTGACTGATTGTAGATGTTTATAGACAATTAAAAACTTTAAAAGCCAACAGTAAAATCTTTAAATTAACTTGCAGGTGAACAGGAAGCCAGAGGAGAGAATCTAGGACTGGGGTTATATGTTCATGTTTTTTAGTACCTGTTAAAAGACGAGCTGCTGTGTTCTGGACAATCTGTAAGCGACGCAGGGATGGTTTATCCATAATTACAATAATCCAAATGAGTCATAGCAAAAGCATGAATCACTTTTTCAAGGTCTTTAGTGGGGAGATAGGATTTCACCCTGGCAATCAGTCTTAATTGGAAAAAGCTTAATTTTACAACTGAATTAATCTGTTTATTTAATATGAAGACACAATCAAAGAGAAAACCCAGATTCCTGACAGTAAAGAGTCTGTGTGAAGCTAAAACGCCAAGAATGTCATTAAAGTTACTTTAACAAAACGGATGACTTCCATTTTACTATTAGATTCAGAAAGTTTAGTTTTAACCAGGTTTTTATGTCATTTTAGACAAATGAACAGTGGCTCCAGAGGAGTGACCCTGTCTATATTAATGGACATTTAGACTTGGATATCATGAGCAAAACAATGAAAAGTGATGTTACACTTTCTGAAAATGGACCCCAAAGGCAGCATATAAAGATTAAAAAGGAGTGGACCGAAAATAGACCCTTGGGGGACCCCACAAGCCAGAGGAGCTGTTGAAGAAGAATGTTCACCAAGGTGAACAGAAAAAAAATTCCTCTTTGTTTAATATGATTTGAACTGAGAAAAAACTGTGACTTTCATAATGCCTTGATGTAAATAATGAGCAGAGTTTTTATTTTATTTTCAGGATTTAATTTTTCTTTAATTTTATAGTCCTAAACAATGATTAAAACCGGTTGGACAATGAAAACTGTAACATACTTTATTTACAATTAGTTTCTATTTAAAATGAGCTCATCACATGGACTCATGAATAGTTTAAATGAGACACACTCACAGGAAGTGCTGGCATGAAGATCTTCACGTACAACTGAGCCAACCTACAGAGAGGTTTTTGATTAGAATCAACAACAAAGTGCCCCCCCCACCCACCCCCGCCCCCAAAAAATAAAGCAGATTATAGTGCAGCTGACCTGGCTACCTCCGGCTCCTGTTTGACAGCCAGTAGGATGGACTCGGTGTTGATCAGGATGGCCCAGCAGGGGAAACAAGCCAGCAGCAGAATGAGGATTGCCCGCTGGAGAATGACTCCAACTCTCATGAGGTTACCGCTTCCAAAGGTCTAAACAAATCACATAAAGTCAAGTCTTATTCTGACTCTTGAAAACATGTTAAAGTTTAAAAACTACCTGAGAAATCAACGTATCACATGCTGATGCCAAACCAGTGCCAATAGAAATTCCTGTAACATTAACAACCTGTGGATAAAACAGAAAACATTAAACTGGTGGAACTGGACACACTGAACTGTCAGAACATTACTGGACTTACTGCTATGGACAAAGCCACTCCTGCCAGCTCTGTCTTCCCCAGATGACCACAGAAAACAGTGCTGATGAAACTCACAGCAAAACTCATGAGCTGGGCCATAAACTGAAAATAAAAAAAAATGAATGAAAGCTTAAACACATTTGTTTACAGTTATTGACAACAAAAAGAGATCTAGAGCTCCACTCCTTTGGCTATAACATACTTATTACCAGCAAGAAGATACATATGAATTGAGTAATCCTGACAGAATATTCTTAAAAAATAACTCTTACCACAGGTCCAGCTAGTTTTGACAGCTCTTTTATTTCTTCTTTAAAACCCACAGGAACCAACATACGGATCCGCCTCATTATGAAACATTCACTCCATGAAGAAAAAACAGATCTCTGCGTGTCCCCCTCCATGGCTCCAAGCCCACCAGCTCCCAGAATCTCACTCTGTGTCTCCAGAAATAATTTATAATCCAGTCTCACCTCTCAGGGTTCACTTTGAAGATTTTCGGCTCGCGCAGCTTTAGAGGTCCTTTCATGTGGTCCAGACGTGGGAAAGTGTTGCCAGGACACAAGAGGAGCCAAACGATACCTGGATAATCTCTGGTGATGGACTGTGACTCATCCACAGCTTTTATTGCCCAGTTTAAATGTGATAACAGAACATGCAGTATGTAGAGAGTGCAGCTGATGAAAAACGACTCTGTCAGAGGAAGTAAGAGTTTTAACTCTTTCATTTGCTTTTCAGGAACTTTTAAGATATTAAATATGACTGGGACTAATTACTTCCAAACAAAAGATTTATGTTTTTCATCCAGATTGTGTCTCCCTGTAGATAAAGATAATTAATGGATGATTGTGACTTTAGTATCAAATAAGCCAGTCATGTTTAAATAGGACAAAACAAGAGCTCATGTTAAAATTTATAGAGTAAGCAAAACTGAAATAGGACTATAATACTGTAATTTTACAGCTGAAAAGTTCCAGACCAAAACAAAATTCCTTCACCTTTCCTTGATTTTAGGAAAAGTAAAGAAAAATAAAACAGGAAAAAAAAACATGTAAATTCAAAATGCTATAATGAAATTTTCCTTACAATTAATTTAACACATCATCAGCAGATGTAATTTATTAGACCAGAGGTCTTCAACGATGGGGTCGTGACCTCTAGTGGGTCCATGCGGGTACTGCAAGTGAGGTCATGAAATAATTGCTTAATCAGACTTTTTAAATACTTTTTTAATTTCAGAGTTATGACTTTATGTTAAACATTCTGCATTTTATGCAAAACAGTAATGCAAATAATACACAGCTTCTTTATTTCGTTTTAACATTTATGTATTTTAACATAAGTTTAATCATAAAAATGTCATTTTGTTTTGTAGTAAAAAATATAAAATTCACAATAATATTTTTTGTTATACTAAGGTTAGGTTATTAGAAAGCACAATATAAAACACTATATATGCATTAATTAGGAGGGTCCTTTCTTCATTTCTGCAGTCGTTTTCGGGATCCCAGACTGAAAAAACGTTGAAGATCGATCCTGTATTAGATGTTCCTAGTAGCTGTTCTTTCTCTCTTGTTCTCTTTTTTATTTTTTTATTATTCTTTGTATTTCTGTATTTATAAACATTACTTCAAGTGTTGAGCACGTGAATGAAAGCTGAAGCTCTGAAACAACTGGACCAACTATGATTTCTGACTCCTCCTGAGCCCGAGTATCCTGAGTCTTCTCCTGAGTCCGAGGTTCCTGAGTCCACTGAGTCCGAGGTTCCTGAGTTGACGGTTCCAGTCCCTCCTGAGTTGGTGAGTCCCAAGTCGGAGGTCCCAAAGGTTCGTGGGTCGGTTGCCGGTGCTTTCACAACGTCTGGGTCGGCTGCCGTTGCTTCCTATTTGCCTGGGTCATCGCCCTTCGTCTCCTCGTCCCCTCTGTTGATAGCACCTCTTGAGATCCTTCCTCCTCGTCCTGGTCATCCTCCTGAGCTCCGCCTCAGCTGCAGCCGGGCCCACAGTCGCCCTCCTGAGTTTCAGCTCTTCTGCAGCCGAGCTCTGGGCTGCCCTCTTGAGGTCTTGCTTCTGTACCTAGGACCATCTTACGACATTTATTGGTTTTGTTTTTCTTGATCTTTCCCAGGATTCCTGTTGGTTTTTTGTTCTTTGATTTTGTTGTTTTTCTCTTTCTCTTTGGTCTTGTCTGCTTGTGGTTGTCTCGTGCCCTCCATCCTGTGGTTTGTTTTTGTACTCCCCTTCCTCCCTCCCATGCTTATGTTCTTCTGTTATCGTCAGGAGATGATTCCTAGAGGAGGGGTACTGTAAGGATCTGTGTCTTGTGTGTGCTTTCTTTTCTTGTGTCTCCCTCTAGTGTTTTTTTCATACCTTGTCATCTCAGTCGTCAGATTATTCAGTCTCTTCCAGTCAGTTCTCTCACACCTGTTGTCACACTTTAATCATCCAGCTGTTTCTAACTTCCACTCATCCCTGTTTGGATAAATCCTGCTCATTTTCTCTCCACCTTCGTCCGATCATTGTTTGGTTTTCCGCCCTGGCTTTTCCCCGTGTTCTCCAGTTCTATGTAAGTTTTTGTTTTGCCACCCCATCAGCTTATGTATTTAATAAATACTTTTATTTTGAATTTGCCTGCCAACTTGCCTGCATTTGGGTCTGAACCTGCTTGCGAAACGTGTCAGGTTTGGTCTTTGTGGAAAAAAATACTCCGGCTCATGAGAACTTCTTTGTATTTGTTTCACTTGCTTCAGTCCTGTGAATAAAAAACATAATTTAATGAGAAGTCTTTGGATGAAGGTTACTGGAAGATATTTATTTTGTTACACATACCATGAGCTGAATCAATGCAACGTATTCACCTGACACAGTTTACTTCACTGAACTGGTCACAAATGAATAACCATAAAGATTCTGTTTATTGTTTTACTCCCGTTCGTTAGCTCGCTGACAGTACGTGGTAACACGATTGCACACTGCAATAATCAAAGGAACATCTCGAAATTGCAAAGTGCAGAGGATATGTTTACTGATTATGCACCATTTTCTCCTTCTGCCATCTTCTCCTGCTCATCTCAACATGTGCCCGTCCCCTGTCCTGCTTTGTCCCGCAGCGCCAACATTATTATTCAGCACTGGTGGTAAAAAGAAGCAGCACCCTAACTTCGGTGGCTCACTGTCATGTCAGCACCAGGTTTATGATGATTCCAATAGCCAGGATCTGTAGCATAACAGCCAGAGCCAGAAGCCTTCGACAGAGCGGAGTCATTTTTGAGAAGCTGCATTTTAGTCTTCTGACTTCTGCAGGTCGCTCCTGACCAGCAGCCGGGTCAGCGGTGTTTGTTTGATCCAGTGAGTCCTCTGCATCCTCGGGTTGTGGACCTAGTCATTCAAATACAAAAAGTCTTGTTTATAAAGATGTTAGAAAGTCTGTTGTTCTATGAAAAACATGATCATTTTTTGGAATTTTTAGTTGATTTCTACAATAACGGGGCTGTTAATTTGAAATAAAATCTCTCTTCAAACTTTATGACCTTTTGATGTTACATCGCTCTCTATGTGCGTTCCTGTTGATAAGGCAGTGGATGTGGTCTGTGCAAGATTAAAATCAGACACCACTCTCAGCAGCAGAACCACACTTTCCACAGAACAAGTGTGCCAACTCCTCAAACTGTCATACGAGTAAACCTACTTCACATACGGGGGGCAATATTATAGGCAGAAACTTGGGTGTGCTATGGGATCCCCAGTTTCTCCTACTG